GGCGACAAAACAAATGTAGAGAAGAAGCAGCAAAGACAGGACTTCAAGTAAACACAGAAAACACGGGAGTGATGAAAGTAACCAACGAATAACAACAACAGACACCAATAACTATCAAAGGAATAAATTTGAAAGAGGTTACTTCCTTCACTTGTCTAGGAAGCGCATCGTTTCAACTACAGACTGCACTGATGATGATGATGATGTCAAAGCGAGACAGACCTTCATCACTCTGGAATCAGTTTGAAAGTATAATGCACTCTCTCACTAGGTCATCGAGTGGAGCCCGGATGGGAAACAACGAGTAGAGCGTCCAAGGATGACATGAAGGAGATCGTGTGAGGAGGAGATGAGAGTCTATGGGCAATCGTTGGGCCAGCTAAAGAAAGACTGCTGGGAACATGACAAAGTGGATATAGTCCTCACACCCGACCTGCTGCACCCTACTGGTCACAACTTCCCACTGGAACCCCAGGTAACTACCTACCTGAATAGGGCCAGTCGCCAGTGAGTATGTCATTGATATTCAAGTATTGGTTTGTAGGGATTTGGTTGATTGGTTACAGGATTTCATCATGAGCTGATACTGGTTAGAGAAGCATTGGAAAACCTGGGAGTACTGGACAGCTGTTTCGTCCTAGTTTGAGACTCTTCATCAGTACGCACCCACCGGGGTGCAGTGTGTCGGGTGTGAGAACAAATACTCGCCGAAGACATTGGCCAGCGGTTGCGCTACATCGTGAATTGGCAGAATTTAGAATTCATGGGCCACTTGATCGGGTCCCAGTGGCTTAATGGTATACGAGCTCGCCTTGTAACAAGTAGGTCCTGGGTTCGAACCGCGGTGGGTGCGTTCTGGTGAAGAGTCTCGAAATAGGATGAAACAGTTGTCCAGTACTCCCAGGTTTTCCAATGGTTCTCTAACCAATGTCAGCTCATGATGAAATCCTGTAACCAATCAACCAAATCCCTACAAACCAATACTTGAAAGTGGATATATCTTGTTGAAGCCGTATGTTCCACTAGAAACTCAATTATTATTATTATTATTATTGTTCCCTTGGGTTCCTAGTGGAACATAGGGCTTCAACTGCACGTCTCCACTTGCTTCTGTCTTGTGCTGTACTTTTCACTTGCGTCCATGTTATTCCATACTGTTTCATCTCCTCCTCACACGATCTCCTCCATGTCACCCTTGGACGTCCCACTCGCCGATTCCCTTTCGGGTTCCACTCGAGGGCCTGACGCGCGATGTCACTCAACGGCCTCCTCAGCGAGTGTCCAATCCATCTCCACTTCCTCCTGCATATTTGTTGGGCGATTGGTTCCTGTTTCGTTTGTTCCCATAGCTTCTTGTTGGTGATTCTTTCCGGCCATCTAATCTTCAGTATGGAGCGAAGACAGTTGTTGATAAAGGTCTGCAACCTGTTGAAAATATTCTTGGTGACTCGCCAAGTTTCTGATCCGTAAAGCAAAATTGACTTCACGTTTGTATTGAAAATCCGAATTTTGTTGTTGATGCTGAGTGACGAAGATTTCCAGATTGGTTTCAGGTTGATGAATGTGTTTCTCGCCTTCCCGATTCTCGATTTGACATCCTCATCCGTTCCTCCTGAACAATAATATAATAACAAAGTACAGATGTTGTTTTTTTAAGACAGGCGATACCAGTAGATTGCGTAAAACTGTACTTTCTATACATGCCTTATATGACCATCGCATGATCTCTGACAATAATTATTTGATTGTTCCTTCACTTTTTTTTCCCTTCAAACTATAACATTTTCGTATAATTTCCATATAGAATCTGAATCTAAAAATACTACAAATACTGGAGAAACTCGATCCGATGGAAATACTCGTACTCGATGGAAAAGTGGTGGCCTGACAAGTATCGATAATCAGTTTGCTTCACGCAACATGTCTCCCGCTTTAGCACCGGGTGTAGCCGCTTTGAATCAAGCTTCAACCACTCTGTCGATACGTTGTGGTCTCTGCACAAAACCATTATGTGCAAGTGAATCAACTCAACGATTAACTGGACATACTGGGTGGGCATGTTCACGACATGCAACATCATGTGATCCAGCGACAATAACCTGTGCCTTATGTCATTTAGTTGTCCGAGGTTTATTTGTCTGGTGTAGAGGATGTAGTCATGGTGGACACTTGGATCATATGCAGGTGAGCATTTTGTTACTCCTTCATTTGTTAATATCATGGAAATATTGATTTACTGACCTAAGCCTCCGAATTACCATTAGATTTTTAAAAATATCTGTAATATAGATGGTTCTTTGGTTTGAAAGTTCCCATAAAGTAACTTTAAGGATAAACACAGTTGAGTTGTCGAAGGGAAAACATGACCACGAGTAGATGTATTGGCTGGTTAGGATGGCGAACAAGAATGAAAGTTAAACTAAGGGAGTTAGTTACATAATCACACTATGAAGTGGTCATTTTGAATAGTCCGTTAATTGATGAAACCATTTTATTCGGCAGAAAAGAGATATCCAGTGTTTAAATCAAATATCACTAATTATCTTCATATGATTTCATGGTAGAATTGACGAATTTTAGTTGTTAGATTACTTGAGACCGCTGAGTAACAACATCACGCGAAACTTAGAGTGGAACCCGAATGGGAAACGACGAGTTGACCGTGTGTCGGAGGTTGAGATGAAGGAAATCGTGTGATGAGGAGATCAAAGCTTATTGGTAATCGTGGAGCCAACTAAAAAGGACTGGAGAGAACAGGATGTTTCACTCGGAATCCAAAAGTACAACAGTAATAAACACCCGAGACGGATTTCTGGAGTAACAGGCTTAGGGTCATACTTAATGTGCCTAGGTTATAGTGGGGGGAGCCGGACTCGAACCCTGAACCTACTGGCTTGTAGCCGATTACTTCTACTAGTGAGCCACGTCTCCACCAGTGAATGAATAAAAGCGATTTTTTGCAAAATCAGCATACGAGTAAATTGTCACCTGCTTGTATGAATGCAATAAATGTATAATAGGATAGTTCAGAGACTCTTGACGAATTGGTATTCAAAGTTTTCGAAATTCCATGAATACGCTTTAGCATCAAACACTAAAGTGAACATTTACAGAAAGCCTGATCATACTGACGATTAAACACCAATTTGCATCCATGGAGCATGTGTTTAGGAAAGAGACAGACTCTCGTGGAATTGCGATCACAATGGCATCGGTGTCTACAGAATTAACTTGCCGGAAAGCACTAATCACATCTGTTTATATCATATATATAATAATCCCTTTCCGTTCTGAGTGGAACATAGGGCCTCAAGTGTATGCTTTGAAGCTTCAGTAGCAGTGTGTTTTTCCACGGGGTTGGGGTTGCCAGTCTCACACCCAACCTTACCGGGTATACTTACTACTGGCTAAACGATACTTAGGAGTGTATCGGCCGGAAATTGAAGTCTGGATCACGGACGTGGTTCACTGAGTATATATATAGTCAAAACGACTTTTAAAGATAAACTCTACTCATTATTTATCTTTCATTTTAACTTTATCATCTTTTAGGCTTGGTTGATGAGGCGATCTGAATGCCCAGCTGGATGTGGTCATCGTTGTAGATATAGTTAAATAAATATCTGTTGATACTTTCTTTCTCGTTACTACTGTTGTAAATCATTTCGTCGACTGTAACTAACATTTCTTTTTATTTGATTATCTTACATATATTTATTTTTTACGAACTGAAATGCTTTTCTGGCTTTGTTATTTTTTAATAATTCTGTCTGTCTTTCTCTCTCCGCCCCGCTTAACTTATCCAATCCTGCAATAAAGTATCACTAATAAAAAAATATATATAAGCGGTTTATTTCTCCCGGAAACAGGTTTTCTTTATGACTTTCATTCACACTGCAATTTTTTCTTGTAACAAACGTGTGTACAATACACCTCGGTAGCAGAAAATAACATTTGTCATTATTATTATTGTTTCCTTTAATTCCTAGAGGAACATAGGGCTTCAGCCGTGCGTCTCCATTGCGTTCGGTTCTCTGCTAGAGTCTTTACCTGTCTCCAAGTCTGTCCACACGTTTTCATCTCCTCTTCACATGACCTCCTCCAAGTCACCCTTGCACTGACGATCAACTCGCCGCTTCCCTTTCGGTTTCCACTCAAGGGCTTGTCTAGTGATGTCACTTGATGGTTTCCTCAGAGTATGGCCAATCCATCTCCATTTCTTCCTGCCTTTTTGTTTCACAATCCGTTCCTGGTTGGTTCGCTCCCAGAGATCTCTGTTGCTGATCTTTTCTGGCCGGCCATCTGATCTTGAGTATTGAGCGAAGACAAACACTTGTCAACAACTGACGAATTTAATTTAAAAACTTTGATACTGTGGGTCGCATTTTAGGAATATTTTCGGGTTATTAATTCTGTTGATTGGAAGATGAAGGCTTGACGTGTTATTGCTTTTAAAAGACAGCCATTCTTGTAGATTGTGATGTTATTATTATTCCCTTGGGTTCCATGTAGAAAATGGGGCTTCAGCAGTAGTACAACTCTGTGTCACTTTCAGGTCGACGCCCACCTCGCCGTTTCCCTGACACAAACTGTCACTAAACGATGCAACCCATCTCCTTTTTCTTCTGCATAATTGTTAGACAATAGGTTGATTCCTTGTTGCTAGCCTTTTCTGGCCGGCTATCTCATTGTCAGTATATGGAGAGAAGGCAGCTGTTGGTAAAAGTCTGCAGTCTGTTCGAAATATTTTGTGCAGCGCCAAGTATTTGAAACATATGGAAGCACTGACTTCACATTAGTTTTAGAAATCCGAATCTTGTTCATTATGCTGAGTGCATCAGATTTCAGAGCAGTGAAGGTCCGTCTTGCTTTTCCGATCCTCACTTTGACATTATCCCTACCGCCTGTAGCTGAAATGCTTCTGCCTGGATAAGTGAAAGAAGTAACTTCCTTCAAATTTATCCCGTTATTGGTGATTGCTCCTTATTGAAGGAATTCATATTTTATAGTTGAGGGCTTTGTCAGTGATAAAATGTTGTAGCAGTAAATAATTTCTCAAAATTATTAGACCTTAGCATCGGTTGCTGATCTTCACTTCAAGTAAAAACAGTACTTTGGGATTCGGTGGATAGGAACTTGCGTTTGTATACAACGTATCTCGCGCAACCGTCAACATGCCTTCATCTCTTAAAGCGTTAAAGGGTAAGAAATCCGACTGTAGGTAATAATAGTGAAACTTCTAGGATTCCGGTTAAGATAATAAGTTTGTTTTCCTTGCTAAAATCAATTTTGAGTAAGAATATGTGCCTACTAAATTTGATCGTTTCTTTTTTATTAAGTTGACTGTGTCTGCAGTAGTGGCGGAATATCTGAAAGTGATGACGCAACAGTACGTTGACATGCTTGACTCATCAAGTTTAATCTGCCTTAATCCTCTTTACAAGTTTATTAAACACATTACTACTCCATACATACCCTTAACACAATACTTTACTTTCAGGCTATGCTATACATTTAATCACATCCAGTAAGAGTGAGATATGGTAAAAATACTGGAAGATAAATATAGTTAGGAGAAAAGAGAGAATAATCACCGAATCTTTGTCGCATCGAGTCTACACCGAATGCAGGCAATAGGAATGAACCAACCGGACATATGGGAAATTGTATTAGAAAACAAACAAGTGGGATCAAAGAGCTATATAAAACAAGTTATGCAATCGAGTGAATACAATTGATATGACTATGAACAATTAATTATCCTCCGAAACACTATCCATCACTGTGTATTGTATCAAAATAAACATATCTAAAGAAAGTTACAACGGGTGACTAAGGCTGTTAGAAATAGCGTATAACTCATAACTTAAGTATCTCTTATCTGGTTTTATCTTCTCAATGTCCATGAAATCCGGGCCACTGTAAGGATACTTGCTTGATTATTGCTTTCCCGAAAAAAAGCCCAATTACATCCAACAGCAACACCACTTACGCAAGATGCGCCTGTTCGGAAAATGTGAACATACAATTTAATCAAATGAGATGAGCTTCGGTGATTCGGACTGCGTGTTGCAAGTATCGGCCTGTGATTCGTCGACCTATGGGATGAAGAATACTTTTACTCATTTTACCGTTGTTATATTATCTCTCGACTGATAGCTGCTACCTTGACATTGTGGTTGGAGTAGCATATCTATCTATCTTAATCACCCAACGAGCTACGCCGTCTGGAATGAATGTTCCTACAGGTCCTGTACTATGTCAGTAAGATCGTTTGGATAGCAATCAGGCTAAAAGCAGTTTCCATCATAGTGTAAGTCGCTCATACTATTTTCGGTGTCTAATGGCGATGTAACAGCAGTGTGATGTTTCCCAGCCCCCACCCAATTCAAGACAGTCAACCTCAAGCAGTTGTCTGTGGGCTCCGTGTGCACCCAACGCTAATAATACCCCTCCTTTTTCAGGGAGGAGAGACTTCTACAATGTGCGCAGCCCAGAAGTAACAGTAACCGTCCACATCCTACCATGAGCACACAAGGCTTTCCTGGGCTGTTGATCTACTGACCTAAGCCTTCGAATTAACATTAGATTTTTAAAAATATCTGTAATAAAGATAGCCCTTGAGTTTGAAAGTTCCTATAAAGTAACTTTAATGATAACAACAACTGAGTTGTTGAAGGATCACAGGAGCACGAGTTTGCATAACTTATTTCTTGATCCCTACGCTGCAACAGATTTGCGTAGATAATATGAAACACTAGCTTGTTTGTTTTAGTATCTTCATACTTTTGCCTATATCCTCCCTCAGTTCGCGCTATTTTTGAAATATTGAGTTTCAACGGTTACAGTTCTGTTAAAGGTACAACCACAGTTTTTTTGAGATAGTATCAGCTGGGTCTACATTTCCAGTTAAACAGTACAAAGTTTTGAAAATATATTTAATTCATGCGTATATTTTCTAAGTATTAATAAAATATAGTTAATAATACATGTTTGAATTTACTATACCACTAAGACTGCAGTTACCACCACTATTCATTCAATAGATGATATGAATAAAAAAAGGGGTAGGCAAAAAAACAGTCCCTTGAAAACAAGAGACAGTAGTAGTAGTTAGTGCTGTATACAAAACCACAACATATGAAGACTAAATTTGAATATTCTAGTGTTTTTGTTTTTTCTCTCTCTCTCTGCATTTTTCTTTTGATATATCATCCCAGCGCTAATCGACTTTTAAGTCTTTTCAAGACTGCTTCAATCACTTTGCTTGTCTTACTGTCACCACCTAAATCAGCTGTACGAATTCGTTGTTCGCCAATCACGTAAACAACTGCTTCACGAATTAGATCAGCTTCTCGTGAATGATCTAAAAAAAGTTGAGTAAGAGAAAAAATAAAACCATCACAAAAAGGCTGTTTTTAAATAAGGTCAGGGACTGACCTCATTTAGAGGGCAATTGAAATCCAAAGGAGTACTGGACAGCTGTTTCGTTCTAGCTTGCGAGTATTCAGCCACTGGATTCCATTCCAGCGACTGAATAGACAACGATCTCGCATCATAACTTGAAGGTCCTGGATCCAATCCACCGGTGAGCACTATTGAGGAGTCCCAGGCTAGAACGAAACAGCTGCCAGTATTCCCTATGGTTCTTTCACTGATGTCAATCAGTGATCTAAATGGGGAAGAAACAAATCAAAACCTCGAAACTAACGCTTAAAAAGGCTTAGTTATCAAACTAAATCGGTTGATACAACCAGAGTGTCACATGGAGATAATGGCTAATAATGACTTTCCCAAGTTTATGCCGTCGATGAAATGGACTAATTTTGCCCTGTTACAGAATCAAAATTACTTTCATCTGACTATTAATGCGTATAGCTTCTAGGCGTGGTGAGTTGTACTCAAACTTAAACGACCTTAATATCAGAAATAAAAAGCTGTGCTGGCTAGCTAGCTGAAATGTACTGTTCAGCTGCTGACATTTTCAAATTACCCATCTGAAATTATGACTTAAGAACAACTAGAATACTGGCAGCTTGGTGTGAATACTTTACGATTGTCAACTTCGTTTCTGGGCAACATCACGATTTTCCCTTCGATGTAAATCACTTACACTAAAAAGTGATAACTTTTCAGATTGGCACTAAAATTTCTAGCATGTTAAGAATTCCATGAACAGTAGGTTCACGCAATAGTATCCTTACGTTTTTTGAACTAGTGCATCAAATTAATAGTTATCAGCCAGGCACACAATAAAGCAAGACAGACCTTCACTCTTCTGAGATCAGTGTGGAAATCATTGGCATTAAACATAAGAAACAAGACCCAGATTTTCAACATTAAGATCAAGTCAGGGCTTCTATATGGTTCAGAGACTTGACGCATTAAATAAAAAGCGTTTTCCACACGTTCTAAACTTTCCTCAACAGCTGACTTTGCTGCATTTTGAAGATCTCCTAGCCAAGAAGGATTAGTAACAAAGAACTCTAAGAATGAAACAACTGAGAACCTGTTGCACAATATGGAGATGGATAGTACAGACGCTGGAGAAACTGTTGGGTGACATCTCTCGTCGGTAAGACCCTAGAGTGGGACCCGAATGGGAAGCGATGAGT